TGAAAGGAAACTACTTTTGGTAACTATGATTGCTTTCTAATTGCTGGGAAATATTAAGGGGAAGCGAAATATTCAAAGATATTTAGGCGTTCTCCCCATTGATCTGCGAGTTTTTGCCAGTTGCGGTGATGACTACTGGATGGATCTTCAGTGAGTAGAATCAGGAAGAACGTTTTATAATGTCTGTTGTAGATTATAAGTCTCGTCCAGAAGATTTCTACGTGTCGCTATTCGTTTCCAGTTATTCTCCGTTAGATGCCCTGTTGACGTTGTTTCTCTTCAAGGTAAAGGGACTATTTTTCTTGGTTCTTCATGATGAAATTGTTTAACTAAAGTTCACGTTTTAAGAGAACTTAGTTCTTGGTTCAATTTCATTTCAATAACCGTCTTTCAGGCGTATCGTATGCGAATTCTCGAGATCCTATGCTTGAAAGGGAGCTGTCGGAGTATTATCCGAATCCAAACATCCGACTATTTGACCTCAAATCAACCGACAAGTCAATAGGAAAGAGAAAATCAGAACGAGGAAAAAAAAAAACGAAAACCCACTGAATTTAAACTTGAATTTAAAAAAATTTAAAAAAATGGTTTTTACTTCATTTCTAAGGGTTTCTAAAAGCAATTCTTATAATTAATTGTTCATGTTTTCAGTTTTCTTTTAAGTTTTTCTAAAATTCCACCCCTAGGCACCATTTCCAATTAAATCTTAAAATCACCTGCGTTTTTCGTTGGCTCTCTGAAAAATTGGTTCTTCAAAGTGAACAGTTTTTTTTGATCGATAACCATGACTTTTTATAAATGACGACAGATCTTATGATTTATGAAACATCATTCTTATTCTTATCGTTGTTTCTTGTTGTTGTAACCCTGCTAAATGTTTTTACTTTATGGGTGATTGTTAATGGATTGCCCGAATCAGCTAAAACCTATCGATGGCATTTGGCCTGGTATCAGGTGGATTGGTCAAAATTTGTTTCTGAAATAAGCGATTTCCCAAAAGAATTATATCCTTATTGCGACACTCGAACCAATTGACAATAATCGTACGTACTCTCAGCCATTGATGAAGCCTCTCAGCCATGTATCTGATTGTTCTAAAGAAGCCTTTTAAGCTTCCCCATTACTTTTTAATGTTAAATCATATTTATCAAAGAAACACTCCAGAATCTCTATAACTGATTCCTCCTTAACATTCCCTTTTGTGTTGGAATTTACGAATAAAGAGTTGCTCAAAAAATGGACACGGTGGCGCACAATTACCCGCACTCAGTTCAGATTTTCCAGCACAACGAAGCGTCAATCAATCATTCCTTATTATAAAATTGAATATTTCTTCTGCACTGTTTCTACTAAACTTGCCCAGAAAAGTTTCTAAAGTTTTGCTAGAGCGCTACAAAGTTTGACATCCGTTTTCTACGGCGGAATCGGGATTTTCTGGTTTTTGTAACTAGTTTCAAGGCCTCAGAATCAAAAACAAAACCCAGCTTATTCCTTTTTACTCATTATTTTCAAAATCTAGCTCATTTTTACTAGAAAACAATGAATTTCGGTTAGGGACTAAAGTTCAAAATGTGAATTAAAACTGTGTGCGGGTGATTGTGCGCCACTCTGTATTTAAATGTGAGTTAATCGAAACTTCTCTGGCTCCCTATGTTGAAGTCAGTAGCATAAAATCAAAAAAAAAGAGCGTTTATTTTTTGGAGTTACATGTACACGGAAAGTATAGCACAGAACCATTTTTGTGGATGACAGAAAACCGATACTCATCAATCCCTCTTTCCTTGCTGCGCACATGCAAAAACAAGTATGTGAATTGATTTTTCTCTCTCATAGCCAGACTACCTAAAACTATTTTTTCGCTATTTCTTTTACTTTAAAACTTCGTAAGTTTAATCGTCAAACTATTAGATTGGCAACAATGAAATGTCGGTTTTTGGTGATAAATTATTTATTAGAAAGCCCGAAAGAAAAGGTTTCAATCCAAAAGGTATTCGCCATTATCATTGATAATTTGTTCCCATCTTCGACGCAAATCACGGATACCGTTGTTGTTCTGACTTCTATTAAATAGGAACATTACATTGCGTTAAACCCATTCAATGGTTGAAATTTAATGGTTGAATCGGATTAAGAGAAAAGTTTGTAAAATTCCCGAAATAGGTATTGTCTATTGAGACAATTTTATGGATTTACGAGCTTTTGAAATGTCACTAATAAAATGTAGATGTCAAAGAGTTTTCAGTAGACCGTTAAAGCAATTAGATGCTCAAAGCTATTAGTGAAAACTGTACTCGGTTGGGTAGAACAGAATGTTGAACTTACGATAACTTCTAGAAGTAATCTCGTTCCTGAATTCTTGGGACACTTCGAGATATGAGCACAAGTATTATCCTCTAATCGACCAAAATTCTCTGGGCAGAAGCGGCCTTTTTGTGGAGAAGTGGGACAACCGAACTGGAAATTTGATGAAACTTTTCAAACTTTTGATTTTTTGATGCATTACTTTTGATGTATTACACGCCTCTCATCGCTGGATCTTTGGGCATTCTTGCCATACAACTGTCACATCCACAACTCCCATTGGAAGACCTCATGCTTGAGACATTCGTCGGCTAAATGGGTATGATGATTGGTTTGGAAACGGGTAAAGCTTTCATTATCGTCAGTTTAACACTCATAGTATAAAATCATGCTATCTTTTGTATGGGGCAGTTTTAATCTGTAAAAAGTTAGAGCATAGAGGTTTGCAAATGGTTCTAATTGCGATTTAAAAATTCATAGATTTTCTTGGAAAAAAGTGAAAAAAGGAAGTGGATGGGTTTTTGTCCCACTTTTTCAAGGGGACTTCCAAAAATTCATTGATACTCATAATTGTTCGTCTGCACGGAAATCTTTAGTAAAAGGCGAAAGATTTTCTCGGTCAAATGCAGACGAACCAGAGATGGTGAAAGGGGGGAAAGGGATCCCTATAGCTGGAGGCCCTTCGCCAGAAAGCGAGCGATTACGCACCCGCACAAAGAGCACTTGTTCATTAAGAGTTTAATCTTCTGCTACTTAAAATCTTTGGATCTGATTTCTAAGTAATCTTACGTTTTGATAACACCATGGCACAAAATAAAAGAATAGTGAAAGCGATGAGTTTGAAGTTAGGCATAGAGGCTTGCAAATGTTTCAATTCAATTCTTGGACAAAAACCACGGGAACAACCTTTGTGGATGAATTTTTGTCCCTTCATTGAATAGAATTAACGGAACCGTTTGTTTCGCACAGATTTTCAACTTTAAATCAGAAACAAGCCGTTTATGAGCTTTTTGTCCCGCTTTTTCAAGGAGACCTCCAAAAATTGACTTAAACGCAGAACTGTTCGTCTGCACGGAAATCTTTAGTAAAGTCGGAAAGTCATTTTTGTCCAGCTCTTTCTTTTTAGCTTTACAGAGGCATCGTCATTGTTGAATCAGCCTTTATTCTTGACAAGTAGAAAACTGCAGACTCATTTTTGCCCCGCTTTTTCAAGGGGACTTCCAAAAATTCGTTGATACTCATAATTGTTCGTCTGCACGGAAATCTTTAGTAAAAGGCGAAAGATTTTCTCGGTCAAATGCAGACGAACCAGAGATGAAAAAAATGGCAATGGACGGGTATATGAAAAGGGAGTACGCCAGAAAGGGTGCGATTACGCTGGCTCACAGAGAACACACAGAGAACCTGTCCGTTGTGGGTCCAATCTTATGCTACAGAATATAAAATGATTACGGTAATGAAATGACTATAAATAGCACAAAGTACATTAGAGTGTGCTCTTAATTAAATTACCCATTGACTTCTGAATAAATTAACTTTAGTTTGGTTGACTTTCCCAATCCATTCTCAGGATCTTTCCTCGTTTCATCTTCTCCTCTCTTTTCCACATTTAGATCCTATCTCCACAGTCTCTTTAAAGAATTGTGAGTTGAGAAATTATCTTTTTTTCTCATCTTGACTCGAGTTTTTTACATTTTAAGGGTCATTGATCATTTTGAGTCACGTGGTGGTGCGACAAAGTTTCAGATTCACATACAACAATTTATATTTGCTAATATCTTGTAACAAGTATGTCAAAATGTTAATCCTTTCTCTTTTCCAACTTCTTTATCAATTCATAATCCAATTCCGGTTTTCATCATTCATTTCCTGTTCACAATTAATGCAGAATGTTAAACACAACTCTACAAAATTCTATTTATGAAATCGATTTGCTCACAAATTTTTGGTAAATTTTAGTTTGTATCTTTCTTTTATACTTTTTTTATTTGTGACGTCAATTCTTTTAATAAACTCTGTTCCGTTCCACTCAACTCATCCATTTCGATGTTTGATTCGACGTTGTTTACGATTTGATAGATTGTTTTTAACCATTTACTACTTTTTTTCAGATCAAAAACCTCCATATTGTTAATCTTTTTTATAATTTATATTGCGCTTTGTGTTCCTAGATGAAAACGACACAATAAACTGTTTACAAAGTTGACAAAAGACATTGTCAATCAGCTGATAAGTTAATCTCGTTCATAGGTAATCAAAACAACTTGTAAATGAAGCAATTATTGAGTTACAACTCAGAAATATTATTTTGAAACTGAAAGCTTTACTTTAAAGCTAAATTTAAAGCTACCCAACGCTGCTCAAAGCAATCGAAAAGCGCACAATCGATCTCTCCCTCATTTCGAAGTCGCTCCAATCTTGTTATTCGACTTCTCTCTCCTCTCCATTTCAAGTTTTTATTGCTTGTCTAAACAAAGAATATTTCTGCTTTTATCATTTTTAGGGGTGGCTCAAAAATTAATCTTTTACATTAATGAAGCAAAAAAAAGGGGGCGGCTTGTAAGAGACAAATTTAACGATCTCGTGTCAGATTTTCCGGTAGTCCCCCTCCCACACAAGAATTCAAAACATTCAAGTCTGATTTGGAGACTGATCGGATTCTAAATATTTCTTTTCTAAAACATTTAAAAACTGTCACAATGGTGAGTTCAATTTCTATGTCAAATTAATAAACATATGTCCTCATGATAAAATATAGACATCAATAACATGTTTTGCCTAAACTCTACAAGCCAATAAAATCTATTTAGCTGTTCGTCAGTCTGATAGTTGTAGTTGTAGTTGCTTTGTTAGCAACAACACAACAAGTTGTTAGCCAAAGCTTTGAGCCAAAGCCAAAGACTCAATGCTTGTTGATTTCTGAAAGTCTGAGTTTTTTGCTTTGGACAACTTTTCCCTAACAGTAGTGCACCAGTTTCGTCTAAATTGCTCGAAATCTCGAAAAGCGCTTATCAGAACCTGTCGATGTGGGGTCGGAAAATGTAGCTGACGATGAGATCTTGTGGGGGATTAGAATCTTGAGCTTCTGTGAAAACTTGAAATCGTAAAATGGTCATCAACTCAGGGTGCGCTACTATTAGGGGTACGGTATCTTCGAAAAAAGCTGCTGGAAGAGCTACAGTGGGCTGAACTTTCTCAAATCAGCCTTGATACTGTCAAAGAAGTATCTCTAAAAATATTTTAAGGGTGCTGAAAGTTGTTAATTTTGTTATTTACTGGCAAATTTTCAGTTTGAAAATATCCACTGAACAGAATTTAAAGTAAAAATTGATTTGATTGAATGTACTGTTTCGAAAATGTACTGTACGTACTGTATGTACCGTACGTACTGTGTGTACTGTATGTACTGTACGTACTGTATGTAAGAATGTACTGTACTTTGAAGCCACTTCTTCTAGGATAACTAGAAAATCAAAAACTCTTTACGATTTGATTCCTATTTGAGTAATCCAGAGATCAATTTTTACACAATTTTACACCAAACAACACTCAATATTGACTCAGATCTCGAAATTAGGCAAAAAAAAAAAAGGATGACAAAACATTGATTCCCCTGAAATTACCTCGAATTGACGACAGCAATTCAAAAGGTTTAGTCAGAGTTGACTTCAAAATTTCCGCCCGAAATTTCCCCCTTTTTTTGAATCAATTCATAAAGTCTTCTTTTTGGCAGAACTAAATAGGCTTATCATCCCTTCTCTACCTTCTTTTCCCACTTTTTTTTCTCCAATCAAAAATTCCCAAATTTTCAAGCGAAAAGAGAGATTTTTCGACTGTAAAACGCGTAAAACAAGTCGTTACTTCGGGGGAAAAAAAATTTCACACTCTCCATTTCTTGATATGGTTCGATTTTGATCGCATTTTCTTTAAATTTCCTTTATTTCTCGAAACTCTTTTATTTTTGTAAGCTTGAAAAAACATTTTTATGATTGAATTTTTATAGCCTGGCCATGTCATCACGAGAGGGTTTTTATCAAAAAAAGCATTCAAAAAGAAAAAAAAAGAAAAGAAAATGATCTCGGGAAATGTTTATTATTTTTGACTCATTGGGTTTATTTCATTTTTCTTTTGCTTAAATCAATAATTTATAAAAAAAAATTCTTTTTAGCCAATGATCGATAAAATTTTGGATCAACTCTTTTTGAGTGGAGCGCTGGATGTGTATGGAGAAGCGGCTGGGGAAAAGCTACAATCATACAAGGTGAGTGGGGAGTGAGAATAGGAAATTAAAAATTCAATCACTTTTTCCTAAATTCCTGTTTCTAACTTTATCTCTTTTTTCTTTCAAATCAATCTTTCTACGTAGCTTTGTGCATTACAGACAAAAATTCGACTTTAGTTAGTGTTTGATGGCATTTTTAAGTTACTGTAAGAAATATATGTTTATATTTTATATTATATAATTTCTTGTGAGACCGTGTCTCGGTGTGGTTCAATAGTGGTCTTCTTGAAAACGCACAATTTATCAAAACTTTCCCTTATTAGGGCAAACTTGGCTCAAACTGGAGCAACCTGGCACTATTACAATTAATTCAACACTTGCATGTGAAAAAAAGGATGATAAAAAGCAAAAAAGGGAGAACAACAAACTCACTCAAAAAGCAAAGCTAAAAACGGGTTTTTAAGTAACAAGGACAGCTGAAACGTCTAGTGACTGATTACGGTAGTTTATCCATCAACTTTGAATTTTAACTTGTGTATTGAATTTTTGACTAACTGCAGAGCAGTGACAATTCGCCACAGTTACATAGCATCTTTCATTCTTTTCTTTCTTCATTTCTAAAACTTTAGCCATTGAAAAGGATTCTAAAAATACCTTCTATTAACTGTCACAAACTCTTCTTGCTTATACCAAGAACAAATCTTATTGTTAGTCCTTCTAAAGTCGTTTTTAACTATAGCCTAATGAGCTACTACAAATGAATTTGAATTAAGGCAGCAATATTTGTTTTTCGATACTTTTTGACAAGTTTTTGAAGTAATTCTGTAATGATAATTTGAGAATTGTAGAAAAGACTGGAAAGCGTTAAGAGCTTAAGACCTTAAGACCTTAGGATTGCTCTAATAGCCTTGAGATTTCTTTTACAGATCAGCCACGTGTTAACTCTTTCAATCAGCCCGATTCCCGAGGAGAGACAAGTCGATGGAGTCAGCTACACTTTTGTTCAAATGGCTGACAATGCTGCACAAGTAAATTATTATAAATTATTGTTAGTGATGATGAAATGATAAAAAATTTAGCACATTAGCAAAAGAAATTTGAAGAAAACAGTACTTGAAAGAGCTGTCATTTCAGGATCTTATTGGCACAAATATCATCACCGACGCGATAATCTTGATTGATCAGGCGTTGAAAGATGGCGGGAATGTGCTTGTACATAGGTGAGTCTTGGAAAATTGCGAAAAAAATCAATAAAATCTTTGTGCTTTTTCAGTGAAGAAGGGAATTCCCGTGCTCCGACGATTGTCGCCGCTTTCTTAATGCAGAAATTCAAATGGAACGCTGAGAAAGCGCTCACTTATGTGAAAATGAAGAGGCCGACAATAAAGTGAGTTTAGAAAAATGGAAATAACATAAAATTCTTAATTTAGCCCAAACAAAGGCTTCAATGAACAGCTGAGAATCTTCGCCACAATGCATTTCCATATCGCTCCTCGGGATATCGTTTGTTCCTCTGAATACAGATCCTGGCGAGCTCAACAAGCAAACAAGAATTTGGGTGAGAGTTTTATGACGACTAGAATTCTGAGGTCATCTTCACCAACAGATCTCTCTAATCCATCTGAATGGGTTAGATTTGATTCAAAAAAATACATCTATTCACACGAATCATGTGGTAGAAACAATACACAAGCACAACTCCTAAATGTAGGGAAGAAAAACCCATATATACCGTATTTTCTGTAATAGTAGTGCAGTCTAAAATAGTAGTGCAGTCTGTAATAGTAGTGCAGGTAGGAGGGGGGTTGAAAAAATAGTAACTACTATTACAGAAAATACGGTATATATAATACGTCCAAATCCGATCTAGCGTCCGGATCGAATCCGGACATCCGAATCCGATCTAAACTAAACGATCATAACATTGGCGAGTGCCAACGGTAATCTAGCCTATTTGGTATATAGTTTAGTTATTTCTCAACAATTTCCTGTAAATTTAGTATTATTTTATAGAAAATTAAATTCTTCATTGAATGATATCAAAATCACAAGAATATGTTTAGAAATAATCAAATTAAAGCCAAAATAAGCTAGGTTGCCGTTGGTAAAACAATTAGGTTTAAATCGGATTCGGACGTCCAGATCTGATTCGGACGCCACATAAACCTTTTTCCAATATAAAAGAATCAATAATCTAACCGGCGGGATTGAATCCTTGACCTCTCCACTAGGAAAAAAGGCCCTTAGCCAGTCGACTATGAATGAATCGACCGTTTGAAGAGCATGTCCTCTGATCTCTGGTCTTTCGAATCCGCTTGTTTACAAGTTAAAAATTTCAAACTTAATTTTCATATATTATAGTAAACCATTAGATTCTAATGCTTTTATAGCTTTCTCTTTATGAGCCAAGCCAGCTACATAGCTATCAATAAGCTAGTGAAGGTCAGAAGCCAGGCCAAGACTTAGTTTTTGGGTCTAGTTATTCCCCTCTTGTAGCCTAAAAGAACTCTTTGAAGCGATTCTGTCATGGTAATTTGTGAATTGTAGAACAGATTTGATCAAAAAGTTAGCAAAGCAATAATTTCCTTTCCAGAAAGTTATATGGTTTCCCCACGCGAGCACCACTGGAACGCCCCACACCATCGACACCATCAAGATGACGGATTACCACATGTTTTCATTTCCGAGTAAAGAAAAAAATTCTGTATCTTTAAAAATCCTTTCATTTGATTTATTTGATAAAAATCTGAATCAATTTCCATTTCCTTTTCCATTCAAGTGCTCAAACAATTGTAAACTCGGGTCATTTAAATGTGCCTTATTTACTTTAGTCTTGCAGATTCTTGTCTTGCTGATTTTTGTAAAGTTTTTTGTAATTTTAATAAACACTTTTGTGCACTAGAAGCAAGTATTTACAAAAATTAAATAAAAAAACAAAAATATTGCGAATCAAGCATCTGAATCGGATCCTATTTCGGCTTTCGCGAGCAGTGCTTGACAGATTTCATTGAGCTCTTGACATTCTTTTTTCTGAAAATGAAAATATTCAAAGTTTATTCTTTATTCTATTCTATATTCTTTGTTCTACATAATAGTATTAGGTTGATGCAAAAGTCTTTTTCATTTTTTCGTACTCTTTGAAAAATAACAAAGTCACAATTAACCTATGGTTTGCCTAAATGAAAAGTGTTTATTGTTCAATTTCCCATCTTTTAAGTCAATTTGGGTTCACTTTCAAGCAAATTCGCGAGTGAAAACGGGTTTTTCATAAAAATCTATAAAAACCTCTATAAAGAAATTGGCTGAATCAATTTCCTGAAAATCTGAAAAATATCTAACTTTTGTGCTCTATCTTTTATTTATTAACATCAAGATTGGTTTCCTTAGCAAAGCGTCTAAAATGCATCATCGAGCCGTCGCCTTTTGACTACCCGACTTCAGGCCCAAAACTAGACATAAGACATTTTAAACTCGTTTTAATGTCATTTTGCAGAAAAATAATTGGCCTTTCGAATGCAATAAACCGTTGTTCAATTGGTGCATTTGTTACTTTTTAACGGAAGTACGAAAAAAATGAAAAGTTTTGCATCAACCTAATAGCTTTTAAAATGAACCTATTAGAGTTTATATTGCTCTAAGAGCTTAAGAAAGAGTTGGTTCGGCTAAATCAAGGAGATTGGATAACAACTCGTTATTCTATATTCTATTCTATATTTTCTTTTTCTCAAGCTTGTTTCGTGTTGTTGATGATGACTTTGCATCAATCCAGCCCATCACTCACCTTGATCTCCAATTGTTGCATCGTTGCATTCAGTTGCAGTTCGGTTCTCTTCAATTTCGCTCTCAATGTTATCGTATCATCTTCACTTCTCTTTTCCAATGATAAAATGCATTCATTTGCTCTAAAATCATTCGATTACTTAAAGTTATTCATTTCCTCACTGATTCAATCGTTCTTTTGCTTGTTCCACCATTTTCAAATATTTTTCTTGTCCTTTCAAGAGTTGTTCCTTGTAAATGCCTTCGACTTCTCGGAGTTGATCGTTGTCCTGCAATTGATATTGACAATGGAAGGACAGCTGGCTGAGCCGGCTAAATGCTATATACCATTCGACACAATTTTAAGCTTATTCGATTTTTGCTAAATGACAATCTGCCAAGAGTTATAAGCGTCCAAAGTTTTGTTAGGCCTTATGTCGTCATTTAGGTGTTAGCGGCCTTCTTGCGGGTCCTATTTTGTTCAGATGTGGCCGAGTGGTACAGTATTTGTTTATGGAGCGGGGCTCTCACAATTTCGATCCCCACTTTAGATTTTTCTTTTGCTTTTTTCAAGAAACAAACGCTGTACCACTAGGCATTTAGCAATATATATTCAGAATGAGCATGAAATTCTGCGGTAGCATTTGGCCGACTTTGCCAGTTGACTTTCCCTCGGGAGTTGACTCATTTTGAACTTAAAACTGTGGTAAAATCTTAAAACAATGCCATTACACTAACCAAGAATAAAGATATTCAATCAACAAAAAAGAATGCTTAAAGTTAAGCCAAAGAAACTAGTCTTACTGTTAAAAAGTTGTAAGCCTTTGATCAGAAAATCTTTATCTCCTCACCTCTTTCAAATCCCTATTCAGCGCTTTCAACTTGTCATACATATTGAACATATTTCGATACGCATCATGAACAGCTTTCAATTCCATCTCCAGCTGATCTCTCTCCTTTTTCAAACTTCTCGTATCATCCGGACTCATCAACGTCGATGCGGTCATTGTTGCTAAAATAATTGAAACATTTCATAATCTATCATATTGATTTCTCACCCATATTCGGCATTCGATTCGCAAAATTCTCGATTTGTCGATGCAACTCTTGAGTGTTCAATTCGAGAGTTCGTTGATTCGCCTCTCCTTGTTCTTTCATTCTTGCCAATTCTCGAGCCGAATCTTTCCGAATCTAAAAATTTCTATTTTCAATAGCTTCAATCGAATTTCAACCTTATCCAATTTTGTCAAAGTTTCTTTTTCGATTTTTGTGACAAGTGCCAACATTCGTCTTTCCAACTCATCCGAGTTGATCGGGTTCTCTGTCTGAAACTGTCTGTCTTTTTGATTTAGTGAGACTATAGAAAGTAGAGAAAGCAATTCTAGTTTCACTTTTTCTTTTCTAGCTGTACAGAAAGCTGTTCTAGATTTACAAGCCATTAGAACCAGGCTTGAACGCTGGACCTTCTAGCTGGACTTTTGTCTAGGCTAAGGTTACAGGCTCTAGGACTCGATTGGTAGGTTTCTCTTTTTACTTTACTGTAAAGATATTCAGCTAAACAAATGTAAAGTCTTACCGCTTTTAAAGCAGCAAATGCGGTTTTCACTTCTTGAGCGCCCGTTGAAAGAACTGTCACCGTGTGTTGGCGGGTTCGAATCGGCGCATTCTCTCCTCTAGAATTTGTTATGAATCAATAAACCAATATAAAAGTGTTTTATCAAATTCTACAAAGTAACACAAACTTTGGCACGCTCACAGTTGACGCTGTAGTCGATGAACTGGCCATATTCTGAAAGGCTCATTTATTTTTTCTAAAACACCGAAACCAACCGTTTTTTCGTCTAATCGAAGCGCATTCTGGTTCGAATCCGATTTCTCGTTGTTGTTTAAGTTCTAAATCACAAGTTTTCAAATTTCCCTCTCCATTAACCTCTACTTTTTCAAGCTTCTCGATAGAGGAGCTTGAATTTTTCAAAAACCCGGTTGATTTCGGATCGATGGGAAGAGCTGGGAGTTGAATTGGCTGAAAATCGATTAGAGAAGAAGAGAATATTGAAAAATTACCAAGTTTTTAGAATTCTTGTCGGAATTTGCTCACCTGTGTGGATGAAAGAGGAGGTTTCGAAAGACTGGTCGCTGTGTGCACGGGTTGTGGCGTTTCTAAAACGATTTTTTTTGCAAGTTTGCAAAATTCAAAAGAAGTTTACTTAGAAATATCAAAATTTTCAACCTTTGCTTACCAATAATCGGCAGATTTCTCTTAACTTGCGAATGAGGCCGAGTGATCGTTTTGGTGATTTCGGATCTGAAATTTGTTCAATAATTAAGTGAAAATGAAAGGTTGAGTGTTTTATTTCAGCAGCTGATATTGAGAATTTGGAAAACACTTCATTCTGATGACTATTGGCCTTATAATGGCCTTATAAAGGCCTTATAAAGGCTCAGAAAAACAGATTTGAGTTCTCTAAAGCGCTGAAAACAAATGAAGACCAAGGAATTGTTTTGAAAGAAAGATAAAAGCAATTAAATTCTTGGTAATTTTCAATCTTTCCCACCCTTTTTCTTTAAATGTGAATTTCGTTCTTTTGGCAAACAATTAGCTTTCATTGTTTGTTCTCATTGGTGAATAATTTGAGCTTTAAAACAACTTTGATTCCAAGAAAAAAGTACTGAAAGTTAAAAAAGCAATATCAAGGAAATTGGATGACTAAACTACTCATAAAAGAAATAAAAAATCATTTTTATTTTTGAAACAGCGTAAATGCAAATTACTGTTTATTTTAAATTGAGGAAAATTAGTGGGATTGATTGAAATGATCAAAATGCCAACTGGGAAAGATTGGAAGCCTGAAATTCTTGTATATTCTGCATAAAATTCTTCTTTCAAACAATTTGAATACAACTTTAAACTTATTATTGTAAAATCATGTGAAAAAAAAACCCTGGGCGTGACCCCGTGCTCCCCTTTTCTCTCTTCATCCCCAAATTTCCCTTCTCTTTCTCCCCATCTCGACCTATCGACTATTTTTGGGTTTTTGCCTTTTCCATGCTTTTTGCTTTTTTTTGGTCAGTGCGCAAATTTACCCCTCTTCACTTTTTTTTCAGCTCCCAACAAGGCCAGTCCTACTTATTTAGCCCTCGTTGCGAAATCGATCTTTCATGTAAGGAGATTTTCGGTGAATCAGAAAGGCACAAAAAAAATTGAATCAACTGGGATTTAGGTTTCAATTGAAAACAAAGCATAACTTTCTAAAATTCAATAAAAGCTTTCAAGTAAGGCAAGTCAGGTTTGAGCCAGGTTCAAGCATGACTTCTGTCGAGCTCAAGGACTTTTTGTGAGCCAGGCAAGATCATAATTCTTAAAATCTTATGTCAGTTACAGTTTTTTATATTAGGTTTAGATTCTCGAGAAGTAGGAGAAAAATAGCGTCTCTTGTACAATAGTTGAGATTGAGAAACTCACAAGTTTGAGTACTCTCTATTGATTTTTGGGAGTCGAGTAGGATACATGGAAAAGCAATATAGTCAACAATAAGAGATTTAGCGTAAATGCATCATTTTCAATTTTGTGGATTTGTCAGGTTTTCGAATTGAATGGAAACAAAAGGGGATCATTTACGCTTGGATGAAATGAGAAAATGTGAGGCTTTTAGAGTTAGAAAAATTGCAGGGAGATTGGATCGAAAAGGAGAACTAAAACAAGATTTTACTAGAATTTGCTGGATACGTTAGCAATGGAAATGCAAAGCAATGGAAAGCTTTAAGCCGAGTCATCATTTTTAGGGTTAGTTTTTGATTATTAATTCAATAAATCAATTAGCTTATAGTTAGAATGAAAAAGATTTACGTTACGATTCTTTAGAGAGCTGATATTGTTTAAATAATATACCATTCTTTCTAAAAATGAACCTAAATCTCATAGTTGTCTTTAAGAATCATAAGAAAGTCAAAGAAAACTAGACGAAACTAGACGAAACTAGAGAAAACTAGACGATTTTCATGTTCAAACAAACAGCTGTAGTCTCTATGAAGCAATAACGAGTGTCATGCTCAATTTGGAAGAAAATAAACGATGAGAGAAAGGAAGATCCATGCATAAATAAATTGAAAAGCAAAAAGAGTGTATAGAGGATTGTATTGGAAAAAAAATAAGAAAAGGAAAGACGAAAGAAGGGAAATGCTGTCTTTTTAAAAAGGGAAAAGACGAAGAAAATGGGAAGTGAAGGCCAAAGGGCCAAAAAAGGAAAGGGGAAAAGGAGAACAAGGCAAAGAATCGATACAACAACTCTGGCACTTCTAACAACAAAAAAATTGATTGGGTAAGTGAACCGAAGCGTTTACTTATTGCCATTTTAAAATTAAGCCATGAGCGATTAGATTTCATTTTGTAAAATGATATCGAAAAGAAATTGGATATCATTTCCTTTCAAAAAGAACCTGAAGCTTTGCAGGCAGCTTTTCATCAAGCTTTTCATCAAACCAAATATCTACAATCAACATCCAATCTTCTAAAATATTTGATCTTGTTATATTTGACATAAGAAATGTTTGTGAAACATAGCGTGAAAATTAGATACAGTCAAACCTCGTTAGTGAACTATGGAAGGGATTCTGAAAAAGCGTTCATTATCGAGTTTTTGATTAGTACTAAATCAACTCAGAGAGATCCTAAAAAAATCGTTTTTCGTTTCGTTTACTATCAAGGTTAGTTCAATAACGAGGTTCGACTGTATCTAATTTTTACGCTTTATGTTTCACAAACATTTCTTATGTGGTAGATAAAATATTTTAGAAGATTAGACGTTCCCAGAAACAAGAACACCAAAAAAACTACCCAAGTTGTTACCAATTTCAAATATTTTCCAATGCACTGATGTAACTTGGTAACTGATATTTGCGAGCTTGAAAGTGAGTGATTTTAGAAAAGAATTAAAACCTGCACCGAATAACGAAAGAAAATTTTAATTCAAAGAAAAATATGATACAAACAATAAAGAGTATCTTGGGGAGTGGGACAAATGCGACCTTTTTTTTGCGCACCTGGACATTTGCGCACCTTTTTTTTTTGCTAGAAAAGACCTTAGGAAAGGTCGTAGAGCTTCAAAAAAGTTTTCATAGAAGGGAATCGTATGCGTAGATTCCGAATTTCGACAAATCAGATTTCGCTGACACGCCAAATTTGGACTAAAAGGCAAAAACTACGCAACTTAACGCTTTTCCGCAGTTTTTGCCCTTTAGCCCAAATTTGACGTGTCAGCGAGGTCTGATTTGTCGAAATTCGGAATCTACGCATACGATTCCCTTATATGGAAGTATTTTCGAAATATTTTCGCAGCTCTACGGCCTTGCCTAAGGCCTTTTCCAGCAAAAAAAAGGTGCGCAAATGTCCAGGTGCGCAAAAAAAAGGTCGCATTTGTCCCACCCCCAGTATCTTGTCGTTGGAAGAAGATCTTAAATAGACCTTCTGGTTGTTAAAAGAAAAGATTACCGTATTTCTTCGAATAGAAGACCGGGTAAAGAGCATCATCGCGTACTCCTGCCTAGCAGCCCTTTTTAAAATTTCTTTTCTGCATAAAAGCTTTCAATGAAGTGCTATAGAGCTGGAAAATGACTCAAAAATACCACATGAGCTAACAGATTTTTAAGCCATTTTCCAGCTCTATAGCACTTCATTGAAAGCTTTTATGCAGAAAAGAAATTTTAAAAAGGGTTGCTACGCAGGAGTACGCGATCATACTCTTTACCCGGTCTTCTATTCGAAGAAAATACGGTAAATCAAATCTGTCAACAACTCTAAATACAATTTGAACGAATAAAAAGAATAACCTTTACTTTTTTCGTAATAGCTTTTTAATTCTTGAAGAAAATTGTCATGAAATCTACAATTTCAGGGCAATCAAAACCCAATTTTCTCCATGGTAACTAAGGGAATCTTTGGGAAAAATCTCTGAATCTGCATCATAGAAAAATCTGTAAATTTATCATAAGACGCTTTTTTTAAGAAGTCACAAAATTAAGTATGATTTTACCTTCTGAAAGTCGTCGGTTCATCATCGCATTCATTTTCTTCTTCAGCCATTTGAAGAAAACTAGTGAATCAATGAAAATCTATCAATTTTAGTTGTAAATTCCCGTTGGTCAGCTGAATATTTTATGAAAAGTGAAAAGGGAAAGAAAATGTAAGCATTGAGAAGAAAAATTGGGGAAAAGAGTGAAGAAATTCTTTGTGAATCATCACAGATTTTGGTCATTTCTCTTTAGATATGGCCTCGCTTGAGAAAACGTTTCAAAAAGGAGAATTTCAAATAGAAATTTTTACATTTAAAAGTTAACAGTTAAATTCAATTCAATTTGTTAAACTTACTTTAGTTTTTTAATATTTAGAACATTTAAAACATTTAGAGTTTAGAGACATTTAGAGACAATACATGTAATATATGGGTAGCACAGATAACGTCAAGGGTCCACTAGAGCTTCAAGATCAAGTTTATCTACAGATAATTTAAAGGTTTCGAGACTAGTCATAACTCCAAAGTAATACAATTCGGTTTAGCAAAAGTTAATCTAAAAAATTTTTGTGGCATAGAAAATGAGCTATATCTAACTGGATTCTAAGGAGTCTTAAGGATTATTGTAGAATAAAAGGGATTATAATTTTTTTTGGGGGTTTGAATTAAAAAAAGATTTATTACCTTAAAGATTATTGTAGAATAAAGGGGATTATAATTTCTATTCAACTTAACTACAAATCATTTCATTTCATGAAGTTTTTTTTGTTTTCCTTTCTTTAAAAGAACATTCGATTTAGCAAAATTTATAGTTTTTAGCTCAAAAACCGATTAAGAATATTGTAGAAAGGAAAAGATAAAAGAAAAACATATCTGAAAAACATACACTACTGGACAATGAAATATGATATTTGAAAAAAGGTCGTCACTTTCGCGCGTCTGTAACTCCCTTGTCTTTACCGTATTTATAAATATTAATATTACCATTGTGTAGCCGTTGAAAAGAGCTTTCAGAAAATGTATAACACTAATAGTTTAAACTCAAAGACAAGGAAGCTACAGACGCGCGAAAGTGACGATCGTTTTTCAAATATCATATTTCATTGTCCAGTACTGTAGAAGAAAAACATATCAAAAACATTTAAAGGAAACTATTTAAAATCAATTTTCACGAATCCTTCAAATTTCATGGTTTAATTCTCATCAAAACTCAAGTTTTTAAAGGAAACGATTTAAAATTTTCGATATTTTCTTGTAGTTAGATATTGTATTATTCAAATTGTAAAGAGTAATCTAATCTTTTACTCAAAATTTCCCCTGTCTAGCTGAATATCGATTTTCCAGGATGAAAAAAGGAGAGTTGTGATTGAAAGGCGTGGAAAATTATGGGCAATTAGGCGGTCAAGTGAAAAGGGAAACAAAAAAAAAGATGGGAAAAGTGATGGATTTAGAGAATTTTCGATTAGTAAAGTAATGAATAAGTAGTATATTACTAAGATTTCGAAAAATTAGTTTACTTACGATTAAAATGAATCTGATAAATGGAAAATGGATAAAATCGACTATGAATTAAAGGATTTGAGATTTAGATTAATGAAGTAATGAATAATTGATTTGATTTGAGATTTCTGAAAATTTAGATCAATTTTCTTGTCTATGAATCCTTCAAAAGCCTTATCTTGATTTTGAAAAGTAGCGCGAAAAAAGGAGAATCTAAAAGTTTCAGTTTTTCAAATCAAAACTTAAACACAATAGATTTTAATGGTTTATATGTTGTGTCCGATTTAGATTTCCGTTCGATTTGGATTGAACTTATCGCGGACGTCCGATTTAGATTACAGTCTATATCGGACGTCCGATTTAGATTCAATCTAAATAGGACGTCTTATATAGATTGAACAATAATATAAACATGCTTAATATATGTTCTTAAGCGTTTTCTGTAGTTTTCTGCATTTTCAAAGGTCTTTTATTGATTATTTCATAGTTGGGTTTTCTTTTCAGAAAAAGACAGTAACAGACCTTTGAAAAATGCAGAAAACTACAGAAAACGCTTAAGAACATATATTAAGCAGGTTTATATTATTGTTCAATCTATATAAGATTTAGATTGAATCTAAATCGGACGTCCGATATAGATTGTAATCTAAATCGGACGTCCGCGATAAGTTCAATCTAAATCGGACACAACATATATCTACAGTACTGGACAATGAAATATCATATTTGAAAAACGATCGTCACTTTCGTCTGTAACTCCCTTGTCTTTACCGTATTTCTAAATATTAATATTACCATTGTGTAGCCCTTGAAAAGAGCCTTCAGTAAATGTAAAACACTAATAGTTTAAACTCAAAGACAAGGAAGTTACAGACTTGCGAACGTGACGATCGTTTTTCAAATATGATATTTCATTGTCCAGTTCTGTAGATACTTTATTCAGGACCTGAGATAAAGTGCGCTAGATTTAAGAGTAAAACACATGAATTCATACACATAACACGAAAAGGGCCGATAAAAAGCAACACGATATAATATATGTAATATATGGGTAGCACAGATAACGTCAAGGATACACTAGAGCTTCAAGATCAAGTTCATCTACAGATAATTTAAAGGTTTCGAGAATAGCGTAGCGAAGCGCGAAAAAAGGAGAATCTAAAAGTTTCAATTTTTCAAATTAAAACTTAAACGCAATAGATTTGAATGGTTTATCTAAAAGATTAAACTAAAAACAAAAAGATTCTGTGTTTTATTTAAAGAAAATCTTATAGCCAAATCCATTTTTCATAATTTAAATCAGAAAAAACAATATTCAAATAAAAATTTGATATTATAAAGCTCTCTCCTGCTGTTTAAAACACAAGAAATTCAGAAATTCGACAATTTTAGAGACAAAAAAGGGAAAAATGAGGCAAAAATTAGCAAATGTTGATAGTTCAAATGTTTTATGGATTTACTCACTCATTGCCTTGAATTTCCTATTAGTTTTGATCAAATTACTTTTATTAAATCACAGAAATAACCTATGAAAAAAAGTATAGAAAAATTTGGGGTGAAGAATCTAAAGAAGGTAAACAAACATGCATGAAATAGAGGAAAAAGAAGGGAAATGATCACTTCAAAAAGGGCCCTTTTGAGGTAAAGCTTGTCCCCTTTCCTTTCCTTTTCCCTCAATGAGTTCTTTTCTTTACAATGTGAGGGCTGCCTGGTAACCCGATCTTCACGCTCTACACACAAATAATACAGACAAAGTAATGCGCACGAGATTTGTCAAACTTTTTAGGTGAAGCTCTCGAGTTTCAATGTTCGAAGGGTTCCAATTTCTAAATCAGATCGAGACAGGAAAAGCCAGTACCAGAACAGAAGGCAGATATTATCTCTGGTCCAAATGCAGGGCCAGCGACTTCGCTAGATCTATCAAAATTTACTAGTTTCACCTCAAAATTCGCAATCTTGAGCGAATAATTTCTTTAAAATTTGAATTTTTTCCTAGCTGTTTGTTTTTTTAGAAACTAGATCCAATTCTGCGTTTGGGGTGTAATTCCGGATTTTTTATAAATGTTTTATTAAAAAAATAAAATAGTAATATTTTAAGGATGGTCGATACATATAAAAATTCTTTTGACTAAATAATAGATCGGCGAGAAAAGCTGGGTAGTGGGTGATCAATGCTTAGGATTATTTTGAATAATTGAATCTACTAGTGAAACTAGTAAATTTTTACTGGATCTAGCAAAGTCTGGACCCGAGCCCAGATCTAGCCTGGCTTAAAGGCTTGACCACAACAGTTCTGAGGCCAACAGTCTGCCCTAGTCTGACAAAAGAAAAGTAATCCTGTTTGAAAATTGATTACTATACATTATCTACTATTAGGTAAATGCATAACAAACAAATGCGAATTTCAACATTTTTATAAATTTCCAAATTTCCAATAGAAACGTGATATCGATGAATGTTATAAACTATTTGAAAGTTGTAAATCTCCTCTACAAAATAGGCTAAAACGTGTTTCAATTGATCGAACGATTGAAGAAATTTCGAGGGCGAAATGCGAGTGACCAAAAAAGGAATCGAGTCACTTTAGGGACAAGTTTAGTGTGGTCAAAATAGAGTTAGCTTCCCAAAATTGAAGATTTAATAAAAAAGGATAACTATATATCAATTCATTAAAAAAGTCTAACGGAAATGCATTTACAGAAATTTAGATAGAGCGTAAGTTCAAAACCCTCAAAATTGTTAAAAAACCGGCTTTTTCACAAAAAAGGAAAAATTATCAATGAAAGCCATCATCGAGTTGATGTTTTTGAAAGTGTATGCTAGGAAACACAAAGAAAGATCTGAATCTAACTGTCATAGATTCTGTTTGCAATCACGAACCGAGAATTACCAAGACACTTTTCAAAGAAATCTTTAAGAACTTTAACTTCTAGATTTTGAAGATAAATTTCCCATAAATAAAGACATTTCCCATAAAACTTGATCAAGAAAAGCCAATCTTTATCTCAGAAATCTCTAGTTTTGTTATGCTTTTACAAATTTGAAATGAAAACAATAAGATTTATTGCAAATGTTGCACTCACCCTTTCGTCCCTTTTTCCTTTCCATCAAGTTTGTTCTTTCCGACTTGAGCGCCCATCTTTTCGAATGAATCTTTCAAAATTTATGATTAAAAATAGACAAAAACTCAAGAAAGCTCAAGGAAATAAGAAAAAATATTATCTTAAAATGAAAATTCAAATTTTCCCATGCTGTGAATTTCACTTTTTCTCCTAGTTGAAAGAACAATGCCGTGACCTATAAATCAACAGAGTGAAAGGATATCAATTTCATCGTTTGATTGATAAGATTCAAGAAAATGTAGCCAACTTTGCAATGGAAATATTGGTACTTGACATTTTGCAAAATTAAGTTTAGTGTTTTCAAACGAATTCTCAATCAATTCCCCGTCTCTTTCCACAGTTAATGCAAGTCAGATGTTCAAATAAAGCCAAAACGTTACCAAATTTATATCTCATTTTCGATTTCTGCATTAGAAACTTGTTTATTTCAATAGTCAAGATAAAAAAGACATATTTTAAACACAACGGGATGTGGACTTCCCTCTCGAACATCTTGATGGTGGTGGTAGCCTCCGTGTAGCAGTCTTGTATGGCGTGGATATATCCGAGGTCAATCCCTGCGTCGTGGAGGGCTTGTGTCACTGTGCCGTGTTCCACTGAGTCGAATGCCTTCTTGTAGTCGACGAACACCAGGATGAGTGGCATTCGGAATTCTCGTGTTCTTTCGATCAGTTGGGTGACGGCTTGCATGTGGTCGATCACCGAGAAGTTCTTGCGGAAGCCGGCCTGCTCCACTGGCTGGTAGTCGTCGAGTTTCCGCTCTATTCGTTGTTGGAGAATCTTCGTGTAGAGCTTGTACAGGACCGATAGCAGAGATATTGGCCTGTAGTTTCCGATGTCTTCTTTGTCTCCTTTCTTGTAGAGCAGGATTGTCCTGCTTCTCGCCAGTGGTCAGGCATCCTCTGGTTGTGGAGGTAGGTGGTGAAGCGTTCGGCCAGCAGCTTGTGTATGTCTTCTCCTCCAGCCTTGAGTAGCTCTATCTTGATGTTGTCTGGCCCTGGTGCTGTTCCAGTCTTGGTGGTGGCGATGGCTGCTCTGATTTCGGCTGGGAGAACTGTCAGTATTTCTTCTGTGGCAGCTGGCACTTGCGGTGGTGGGTCGATGAGTAGAGGTCGGTGTAGAAGTCTATTCACTTTTATTGGAAGAAGATACCTACGATGAGTGTTCAGAAGACAATGACTCGAACCCTCGGGATCCAAAAGGGAATACGCTCGGCAGACGCGCGCACTAACCACTACACTACCGAGGCCGTTCACTAAAGACAGTGCGTCGCCCTCATAAAGAGGCCCCAAAAACTTGTATGCCAAATATCTCGCGATAGAGAAGCGTTTGGCAAAAACTGATTGCAGCTTCGGAATCAGCATGAAAAACTGCATTATATAGGCTATTTCCCGAGTCAAAAGCCACGATAAGTTAACAACATTCCCTAGTGAGTTGCTCCATATTGATTCTTTAGGACAATAACTTCCAAAAACAGCGGATTCAGTATGCAACAGTCGATTCAATTATTTTTATCTTTCGAATAAATAAGCGAGCTTCTGGAAAAAAAAGAATCGAAAAACTAACGAAAGAACTGATAACGAGAATCGAATAAAAGATCAAATTCGGGTTTCTCTTTTGAGTCAGCAGATATTTTCAAACTATTAACTTCAGTTTTCTTAGTGGAACTTATTGAAAGCTAGCGAAAGTTCAATGGAGGATGCCCAATTGATTGGAAGAGGAGCTTTTGGTTTCGTTGTTGTTCTTAATCAGATACCGTCGGTTTTTTTCGATTTTGTTCATAATTGCTCACTTGAATGCAATTTTTGGAATTAAATGACTTGAACCAGTTTTAACTTTAAAGTAAAGAAAGTTTTAATATTGTATACGTTTTGTTCAGAAAAATAGCTGCCAAATGGATCCAGCAAAACGACGATCCAAAAGAAGAGGCAAAATTTGAGAGAGAATGGAGAATTCTGAAAGAACTTCATCATCCAAATATTGTCTATTTTTATGGAATTGAAAAAGCAAAAGATTGGGGTCAATGGTATCACGTCATTAAAATGGAATATTGTGAGAGGAATTCATTGAGAAAAGGTTAGTTCATGCAAATAGGCGTACAGACTCTACAAAGACTTACAACAGAAGGATCATTGGGTCCCTTGGCCTTTTCCGATCATTTATAGGCCTATTCGACGCAGAATTTTACGCTGATTCCAATGATGTAAAAAAATTAGCTGCCGAATGACGGGTAATCACCACCAAACTGGCAGAAAAGTTTCGAGATGCATAAAGATACCTTTCCGTCGCATTCGGTTCCTTGTCACATTCGCCGTTAAAATTTCGGGCTCTAGAAAAAGAAGATTTACATCCTATAAATATAAAAACCGTAGCAAGGCAAATCGGGAAATTTCTGGGCCAAGTTGGTCTGTTCTTCATATCCAGTCTCTTGTCTAGGGACGCTGAGCTTGGGAGGGTCACTTCAGGGTCAAGAGTCGAGAAATTTCGTAGTTTCATAGTTCTAGAGCCTCTAGACATCAGTTTCACAATCTGTCATGCTAGAAATATCATTTTCACAGATCTAGACATTCTAGACTTCATTCTAAGAGATCTAGACATTCTAGAGATCATTTTGAGAGATCTATTCGTTCTAGACATCATTTCCGAAGATCTAGACATCTCTTTTTAAGCTGATAAATTCACAAATACTTCTCATTTTTTCAGTACTTCCTGATCCCAAAATTCTTTACAACACAAAAACTGTTTACGTTTGGACGGAACAACTCTTTTCCGTTTTGAAATGCCTTGATGAGCATCAAGTCGTTCATCGAGATCTGAAACCAGAGAAGTACAGTTTATTAGCATAGTTTTTCTTGAGTTAAAACACTTTCAGTGTAATGGCCACTTATAATTTCATCTTGAAAGTCGGTGACTTTGGTCTGGTTCGTGACTTGAACAAGAGCTCAATGACGACGATGGCCGGAACACCGCTTTATATGAGCCCTGAACTTTTACGGGGAGTTGGAAATGAAAAGCCAGAAGTTGACAAAGTTTTTCTACAATTTTCAACAACTTCTAGGCGACATCTCTAAGCGATCTTTATGCTGTTGGGCTAATAATTTGGGAAATCATCGAGAGAACGTAAGTTTTTCTTAATCTTTTTTGATTTTAATGTTAGTTATTACTTTGATCAACTTGAAAATTCAATTTTTATCACAAACGCTTCAGCCGTGTCTATCCCCAATTTGCTGCCAGTCCATCGGGTATTGGCGCTTTTTTGTTGAATATGGAGAAAGGGGAAATTCGAGTTCCTGTTCCGGATTGTGATGAAAAATTAAAGGGGATGGTCAGAAGGTATTTCAGAACTTACAGCAAAATTTATGCGGTTTTCAAAAAACACAGAAATCCTATTTAGTTGTACTGAAATAAATCCAACGGAAAGAATACCTATTCAAGAAGTTTATCCGAAAGTTGTGGCTGCTAATAAGGTCGGTAAAACAAGTTTAAAATTTGAAGTTTTTTTAAAATGCTAAATGAATTTTCAAGTACTGAATAAACTGCTGAATTTTCAAATATGATTTTGTGTTTTAAAAACTTTATTCCAGACCATCACCAAATACGACTTCACACCAATGGCCAAAGAGAATCAAACGATTTTGATGAAACCAAAAGATGTGGATGAACTACTTGACAAAGAGTTCCTAGTTAAAATGTCAAGCAAGTTAGAGACTGAAATTTCTTTTCAAGAAAACTCTGTAGAAGTATTGACCAGCAATTCATCCAATTCATTACCATCCGATCCAAATCCTCTTTCAAAAGGACAAAGTTGGGTGAGATATCCAGCAAAAGGAGTGGATCCAGTGAAAAAAACGAATATTATTCATCAACAACTTGTGAAAGAACAATTGAAAGCAAAGGAAGATGATGTGGTTGAAGTTGGTGAGGAGATGGTATCTAAAACTGGTACAAGTTCAAGTGATGTAGATAATGTAGAAGATGGGAATTGATAAATGTCCCACCAATGTAATGAAGCAGGATTCTTTGCCATCAGATCCACAAGTTGAAACTGAAAGCCAAAAACTTGAGATTGAAGCCAGTGAGCCAATGAAACGAGAAGAAGGTGCTTTGGAAGAAGAGTCAAGTGATAAAATCGAAGTATCTTTACCAGAAGCTAATAGAAAAACTGCAAGTAAGCTTGTTTTAAAATTAAAAGAAATAAAGAAAATCTCTTTAAAAGCTGATCGAAACGATCCCACAACCGATTGGAGACAAGCCAACAATGAACATGCTATAAAAGCCCGTAGAAATCTTTGTTACTTTGAAAGCAACTAGCAAAGGTGAAGAATTAATCAAAAAGACAGACTTTGATCTTGTAATCAGCTTTTTGACATTGGCCCCAGAAGCTGAGCCTTTTTTTAAACATTTTAAAGAAAAACAGCTCTTAATACAAAAGTTTTTTGAAACACACAAGTTTTCTTTAGATCATAGCCTAACAAAATGTTTTCCAAAACTTGTCGGCTACTTGATCAAGTCAAGAATGAAAATGGCAAATCTTGATGATGAGACAAAAGAAATTTTACTTAAAGTCTTACGTGCTTGGGAAGAAAAAGCATTGAATGAAATCACAAGTCTTGATCAGGGACTCACCCAAGCATTTAATAGTTTATTTAAAGGGATCGAAAGTGATCTTCTAACAGCAATTGAGAGGTTAGATTCATTGAAAAACAATTGGTTCAACGATTTTCAAATCAGAGTCCCTATTTTTGAAAACAAAATCAATGAGAAATTTTATTTATTATCAAAAGAGCAAGTCTTTTTGCTGAAAGATGAAAAGGAGATGTTTACTTTTGAAGATTTCGATGGAAATTGGTGTAAATCTGGCGATGAAATTAGAGACAGAAGCAATTTTTCTTTTTTATTTAAACGAATAAAAGAGCTTTATCAGATAAATTTAAAAGATTTGATTTTAAAATTGAAAGCAAGAAGTAAAATTGAACATAAACCAATCAATTTCCCGGTCACAATGCGTAAAAAGCTTAAGCCTGAATTGGTAAAGTTTTGTAAGAAATCTGATTGCGATTTTGTTTACATATTTCTATTTCATTTTTCACCAATTGATTCAGAATGGGATTTGGAAAAGAAATTCTCTGAAATAGAGCAAAACAACAATCAAATCAATCATATGGCTTTTGAAGAAGGACTAAGATTCATGGCAAAAACCTATCACTTATTTCATCCAAATGAATGCCTTGATGAGGGAAATAAAATCCTTTCACAGTTCAAATCACTCACTGAGATTACATTCATCTTTTTAGAGAATAAATACGGTCTCTTACTTGAGTATTTTGAAATTGAAGAATCGAAAGAGCTCTTTCTGCACCTTAATATTTGGAATGGTTGCTTTAAAAGTCGACACTTTAGTTGTGAAAAGGGAAATACGTATGATTTTTACTTATTCTCGACGAAAAGAATGCGATTTATCTTTGAAGAATACATGAAATTTTTGAAGGGAATTGGTGAGTTTTTTACGCTTTTACATTGCTCTTTTTCATTTGGACTTTCACTGTCATAATTGGTCTTATTTAGTTCTATTAGTAAACTTCTTTACAAGCTGAACTTCTTAGAATTAATTTACTTATTGCCAAGAAAAAACTTTCTTATCAAATCAACTCAATTTCAGAAAGAATCCCAGTGCTTAAACGACGACAGGCACGTGCAGATTGCTTACAAAATGCTTTTCAGTTCAATCTCGAAAAGTAGAAAAGTTTAAATCTTTCAATTTATTGATAAATATTTCAGAAGTTTTTATGTCTTTGAAGATTTTTGAACCTGGGGAACAAGTGGAGCCAACACTAGAGATCCAATAGGTGAAGTGATGACTGATAGTTGAGAAGTATTCTAGGACTTTTGATCAAGAATCGATAACAAAATTTCTAACTTGGAAATATCTTGTGTAATCGTTGTTTAACAAATTTTCGATAAGGTGGATAGAGAATTGGAATGGGAACGGAATGATTGATCTCAGGCATTGACAGCATACATGGAGTCAAAAGGTTGAAATCCGAATTGGGATTTGATTAGGGAAATGTGATCTTTAATAGTAAAGCACAATCCAGCTCTCACCTAGACAGAATATTACTTAACTTGCTAAATGACTTTTGATATTGATTTGTTGTGCTTGATGGTAGCGAATGTTTGTTACAAAGCTCACCTTCCATTGATCTCAAACCGAAAATTAATAATGAGCATACTGATGGAAACGGGCACAGTGATGAGTGATGAGTTGAAGGCGATACTTGACTGAAAGATTTGATATTGTTTCGTTTACTAGTTCAAGATAATGTTTGATTTTATCATTTGATTTGTCTGATCATGCAAAAAGTGTAAAAACGCAGACTAGAGTGTCAACAGTCTAAAATATGTGGAAAACTATCGTAATCTTGCCTCTCTTTGATCTAATTGATCAATTTTAGTCTAATTCTGCCAAAGTTCACAAGATATAAAGATATAAAGATATAAAAAAATGCTAGATTTGATCAAAACTAGAGCCAAGATTACGGTAGTTTTTGAAGCTTTTCATGTTTTAGAAAATGCTCTACTCAAAGAGCTTGGTGAATTTTTTCAATGAAGGTAGCTCTATGGAAAATAGATTTTTCCAAATTTGCATACTTTAGCTACACAGACAGACTCAAAATTTTTGATCTTAAATCTCTTAGACACCGCCGCTTGGTCACGGATTTAATAGAATGTTTGAAAATTGTAAATGACAGGCAACCTATCCCTCTTTTTCGAGATTGATTCAAAGTTAATCCCACGGTTAGTTCAAGGAGAGGTTCTTTCGTTTTAGAGATTCCAGTCACCTCCAATAAGTTTGTTTATAACTCTTTTCCAATAAGAACTACCAGAATTTGGAATCGACTCCCCAGAGTTTTGAGAGAGTCCAATAGTCTCGAAACCTTTCAATTATCTGTAGATGATCTAGATCTTGAAGCTCTAGTGGATCCTTGACGTTATCTGTGCTACCCATATATTACATGTATTATATCGTGTTGCTTTATCGGCCCTTTTCGTATTATGTGTATGAATTGATGTGTTTTAATCTTAAATCTAGCGCACTTTATCTCAGTTCCTGAATAAAGTATCTATATCTATAACGATGAATTTAAGTTGATTGAACTCAAGGTGACCAATAGATCCGGTCATCCGGCAAAGTTTCGTTTTTATAAACTTCAATGAAAGGAGGAACTTCTTGATGTGAAGAGAATCGAAAAAAGCAATGAAGGCAATGAAGGTTTAGGGGAGAAACGACGAGACACCTAAAAAAAACGCCAAGCTTCTGCAAGAAACAAAAAAGTTAGAGTAGAAAAAGTCTAGAGTTGTAGATTGCGTTTAGCGCTGGCCTTTTTTAAAACAAGATTTTTATCACAAAGCTGTTAAAGAATTGTTTAAAAATTGTAAAGAAGCCTTACCTAAAGTCATTATTTTAGAATTTTTTTAATTTTCAGAGAATTTTCCATCGACAAATGAATGCTTCATTCACTTGTTTTAATGTAAAATATTTTTCTGTTAGATTTGATTAAGGTGTAGATCATACTTATCTCAACTATTCGTACATAAGATTTGGGGGTTTTTTTAATGAATGAAAGGCTCAGAGCTGACAGTTTTCACTATCTAATTGTAAATAAGCACTAATTGAAAGATTTGCATTTGTAAAACCAACTTTAGCCTGACAATAAAAACTGGTTTAAGCAATTGAAATTGAACCTTCATTAAAAAATTTATGAAATTAATTTCTAATCTTCAGATTTCTTTTTCTTGTTGCTTAACGTGAATGCAAGAAAACCGGGACAACCTGAAATATTATTTCCACTAGCTTTTGTTAACTTTTGGGTCTCCATTGATTTTTCTTTGTGTTTAAATACAGGGTGCGGCAAAAGTTCCGACACTTTTTGTAAACGGGCAGTTTGACTTGGAAAAAACGTGATTTTTGAAAAACTAACACCGGATTATAAAAATTCAGATATTTTTACCCCCTAATAGACTTTTTTTACACAAAAATTGCCATCTAAACAACCTTTTGATGAGGATGTTTAAAGGTCGTTACAGCAGTTTTTTTGCTGTTGAGATTTGGGTGCCCTTCGTAGAATCGCTTGAAAATCTTTCGTTTTTGAGATATAAAGTTTTTCTGTGGCTTGTTTTCAAGAAAAAAACTCAGTTCTATCAAATGATAACAGCAGTTTTTGGAAAAAATTTCATTCTGCAAAGTTTAAGTCAACTTTCGCAAAAATCTTCAGCGACCAGACCGGGATAATAATAATAATAATACTTTATTCAAACGATAAAGTGAAAGAAATCATAGAGAAATGCACAGTGATACTTAATCATACAATACATACTGAAATCAATAAGCCAATTACTTACGGCAAAGAGCCACTAGATCTAAAGCATCGATACGTTTCTTGAATATGAAAAGCGACTGAATTTCTCGTATGTCGTTTGGGAGCAAGTTCCATAATCTAGCGGCTCTAACGGGAAATGAATTTGATAAAGAGGCATTGGAAGCAAAGGGAATTTGCAAAAGGAATGAGCCACTTCTGGGCCCTGACCGCGGTTTAAATTTGAAAAAGTCTATAAACAAAGGGCTAATCTGTTTACAACGGAGGATTTTGAAAGTTTCGACTAAATCAATGACAAAGCGACGATGCTGTAAAGTTTTTAGTTCAAAAAAAGCAAGTCTCTCCTCATAAGTAAAGCTAGAATATTTAGAATAGTCAATTTTCCATAAAGCGACTTTTGTGAACCTCCTCTGAATTTTCTCCAAGCGTTCAATAAAGACTTGTGCGCGGGGAGACCAAACAATAGAAGCATATTCTAAGATGGGCCGGATATAAGTCGTCAAGCATTTGCGGTAAGAGTTTAGGTTAGGATGAACAATTGATTTGAGAATACGGCTAGAAACAAAAGAAGCTTTTCGACAAATGATTTCAATATGTTTAGTGAAATT